ACATAATCCACCGAGAATTTACAATGGTGATCAAATTCTTTTATTTTATCCTTAAGATATTCTTCCGATATATCTAATTCTATATCTCTAACTACACCTAATTTAAATAATTGAAATTTCGGAATATATGCAATTAGATTTTTTTGAATAAGCAATTTAGAAGTAATTAAGGTATTTGCACTAGCATAGTTTTAAAATGTTATTCTAATACGGTTGCGTCCAATTGAATCATCATCATATAACGGGGGTCCTACGGCGATTGCCGCTTCCCGCATTTCAGCCTCCATCTTTTCCTATCTCTCCAATCTCCCTCTTCTAAGCCTCTAGATTGCATTGTTTTTGTAATTTCTCTTCTCCAGGAATTTGGTGGTCTTCCCCTTTTCCTTCTTTCTGGCGGAACATACATTAAGGCTTTCTTTGGCCACCGCTCCTCCTCCATTCTCATCACGTGACCATACCATTGTAATTGCCTTCCTTGTATTCTATCTGAAAGAGTATCTCTAATTCCTGTACGGTTTCGTATTTCCTCATTCCTGATTCTTTCCATTCTCGATACTCGACATGACCTTCTAAGATAATCCATTTCCACAACGTCTACTTTATCTCGTTCATTCTTTGTCATCGTCCAACATTCGGCACCATATGTGGTAATTGGTTCTACAATTGCTCTGTATACGCGAAGTTTGGTATGCATCTTTATTTTATTAGACCACAGTAATGAATTCAGTATTCGGATGCATTTTTTCCCTTGGGTTATTCGGTTTTGTACATCTATCTTAACTCTGCCATCTGCTGATATGATGCTTCCTAGATATTTATACTGGTTACAGCCTTTTATGACTGCGTTTTCAAGCCTCAGATCTGTGGTATTTCAGTTCCAATTGAATCAATTTTTTTAATATAATTATCAATTTCCGGATGTACGGTAAATAATATTTCACCTATCTTAACTGCATTCAATTTGCCTATAAAATTTTTATCATTGTTTTCAATAAAAATGTGAAATGGCCCTAAATAAGTTTTTTCATATAAATATACAGGTCTGCTTTTTTCTGTATCATTAGAAATTAGTGAGGTAATTTGTTTATCGGTTTTTAAATTATTAATACTATTAGGACTACTTATCGAGTTTTCTAGCTGATGGGATAAAAATCCATGGGAACCATAACTGCAATCATCCATCGCATCCTGATCCCTTGGCATTTTATCGGGGGGCTCGCCCCCGTTAGAAGACTCCATAAATGCAGCCTTCGGCGATCGCTTCGACGACTAAACTAGTACTAATGTATATGTATTAAACTATAGTAATAGAATCTAACTGTTTAGCACTTCCTAAATCACAAAAATTCACGGAGAACTTTAAAATGTGTAAATTAACTTAAGATTATATATTAAACTATCTGAAATTAAACTTTAAAATGCAGGAAACTATTAAATTCGTATTAGACGAGTCAAGTTAGTAGAAAATAAGCGTTTTTTCGTCACAAGTGTATAGACGGGTTTGACAGTTGAAATGGATAGTATGAGATATAACAAAAAGACTTTCATCTAGGGATTCATGAATTTTTTAGTGGAACTATTTTTAAATAAACAATTAAGGCGTCAATATTATTATTTTGCTCATAACTTATAAACTTGTCTATTTAGAGATTTGACGTCCACAGACGAGTTGTTGAGAAAGAAAAAATACACAAAATGAGATATACTAAATTAAAATCGGTTAATAAACAAAAAAGTTATTGCATAATAACCAAGCAAAACGGCTGTTTTTGATTATTGTTAATAACTCTTTTAGTAATCAATAAAATTTATTTAAATGTATCTGAACTTAAAGATCTCATCGTGTTCGAAGTGTGTGCGAAAGATAGGCTAGATCCGTCAAATAGTTTTTGCACAATTTAATTTGTTTATAAGATTTTTTGAAAAATGCACAAATTTCTAAGGCCGGTCCAGATAATTTGACTGAATGGATCTTAGTAATCCAGGGCTTATTTTCTTCGATGAGACATATATTAATATCCTGTGGAAAAAAAAGTTAAAAAAAATTACGTTTATGTACACAAAATAATTTATTAATAAATAGCACTTTTTAAGTTTATAAACATTTACAATAACTCCGTACTATTTAGTTTAAATTAAATGGCAATAAAACATTCGGAAGGCGGGTTAAAAAACACAACTTTAAAAAAAAAAAGAGGTCCTGCGACCATTAGGAGCCGAGTTAGTCCTTTTTTTTTTAAAATCACTGTTACGTCAATTAACAACATTAAGGGCTGAAATTAACCAATCTTTTAGAAGAAAAGTCAAAGTTATTCACAAAATGTTTAGCAAAAAAAATAATTGAAAATTGTTTAAACAGGAGTGTTGTAAACGAAGAGTACTTTGCGTTCCGACTAGAATGGAAGGAGTGGGGATTGCCGATTGCACACAAGCCGCGCTCTCCAAAAAATTCGAGCGCACGGTTTCAAAATAGAGTGCTTGGAAAAAAATGACATATCTCGGGTTCTAGTGAACCAAATTTGTTCTTTTTTTTTTAACTGGGGTACAACGTTAAAATAATAACATTTAACTTACTTTCATTGCAAAATTATTCAAAACAAAGCAGCTAATGACTACGGAATGTACAAAGTTTTTCTTAAGTCATATTTTATTGTTATTTTTCTATTTATTTATTTCAAATGTATATTTATATATTAAATAAATGTTATAAGTAAATAAACATTTTGAATAATGTTTACTAAAAATTTATTAATGAAATAATAAATTATTTTATGTTATTACAGAAGTTGAAATTTTGTGTAGTGATTTTTTAAAATAATTTAATTTACTGTAATTTTCTACGCTTAATTTCTATATCGTCACTGCTACTACTATGTAAACATTCATCTTCACTTTCATCTTCAATTTCACTTGTATTATAACGTTCATAAATCATTTCGTTGTTTTTTTCATTGTCGCTATTCTCATCAAACCCAGTTAAATACATTTCATCAATTATCTCTTGTTCATCTGTTGTATCGTTTTCTTCTTCATTAATAATTTCATAAATATTAGTACATTGAATTTCTATGCATGTACCGCACATGTCTGTACGTTAAATTTCATTGGTTAACTTTCAAAAATTATACATTATATTGTATACATTCGTATACAATTTAAAGCAGTGTACTCACATTTTTGAAAAAAATGTTTAAAATCTTTATTAGTACAATAAATATCATGTTTTAAAATAAAAATAGAAATATTTAATAATTTTTCCATATAAATAATATCATAGTTTCATTTTCACGTAAACTTATAATAATAGTAAAATAATATTATATTCAAAGTTAACCGTATATTATTCAGACAACGTGGTACACAACACAGTGAACAACACGTAGTTTTTTTTAATATTCAGATGAATTTTACTTACCATTAATTATTTGTAACAATTATTAAATAAAACAAAACACTAAATATTTCAATACAACAAACGGTTGTATAGTCGCAGGAAAATGAGTTGTTAACTTAAACGGCCTAACAGCATCTGCTTTCGACGTGCGCGACTTTTTTTAGAGCGCGGCTTGAGTGCAATCGGCAATCCCCACTCCTTCCATTTGAGTCGGAACGCAAAGTACTCTTGGTTTACAACACTCCTGTTTAATCAATTTTCAATTATTTTGTTTGCTAAATATTTTGTTAAAAACTTTGACTTTTCTTCTAAAAGATTGGTTAATTTCAGCCCTTAATGTTGTTAATTGACGTAACAGTGATTTTAAAAAAAAAGGACTAACTCGGCTCCTAATGGTCGCAGGACCTTTTTCTTTTTTTTTAAAGTTGTGTTTTTTAACCAGCCTTCCGAATATTTTATTGCCATTTAATTTAAACTAAATAGTACGGAGTTATTGTAAATGTTTATAAGCTTAAAAAGTGCTATTTATTGTTAAATCATTTTGTGTACATAAACGTAATTTTTTTTAACTTTTTTTTCCATAGGATATTAATATATGTCTCAACAAAGAAAATAAGCCCCGGATTATTAAGATCCATTCAGTCAAATTATCTGGACCGGCCTTAGAAATTTGTGCATTTTTCAAAAAATCTTATAAACAAATTAAATTGTGCAAAAACTATTTGACGGATCTAGCCTATCTTTCGCACACACTTCGAACACGATAAGGTCTTTAAGTTCAGATACATTTAAATAAATTTTATTGATTAATAAAAGAGTAATTAACAATAATCAAAAACAGTGGTTTTGCTTGGTTATTATGCAATAACTTTTTTGTTTATTAACCGATTTTAATTTAGTATATCTCATTTTGTGTATTTTTTATTTCTCAACAACTTGTCTGTGGATGTCAAATCTCTAAATAGACAAGTTTATAAGTTATGAGCAAAATAATGATATTGACGTTTTAATTGTTTATTTAAAAATATTTCCACTAAAAAATTCATGAATCCCTAGATTAGAGTCTTTTTGTAATATCTCATACTACTTATTTCAACTGTCAAACCCGTCTATACACTTGTGATGAGTAAAAACCTAACTTGATTGGCCTATATTTACACTTTGAGCTTTATGTTTAACAACTAAAAATAATTGTTTTTTTATTGGCATAATAAATAAGTATATCACTTAATTCGTTAGTTTTTGCTGCCCACAGTTGCCTGAGGGCAACACTCCCAAAATACTCCCCAAACAAAATTTAAAAAATCTAAAAAAATTAGGTACTAATTGTTGTAAATGCATATTTGAGCATATATACAAATTAAAACATTTTCTCTTAAAATTACAAAAAAGTCGGGCAATAGAGGGTTAGGTAAAGTAAGTTTATAGAAATAAACTAATTTTTTATTTAAAATTGAAACGTCAATAAACTTACTTTAACCTTTAATTGCGGCTGATTCCCATTTAAATAGTAATTGTAATAAATAAATACGAAAGTGTAGTTCTCGGGACGGCTGTGAAAAAAAAATTTTATAATTGAACCCATTTAAATTTAAAAATCATTTAATTACTTCTCTGTTAAGTTGTTGCCGTTTGACATGACAACTTTGTCAACAAAAGTACCAAATCCCAGTCGGAAGTGTGAGGTTAGTTGTTTTGTCGTCGTTGCCAGCCTCTCGCCCAAATGTAATAATTTTTCGTTGTCTGACATAGACTTACTCAAACCCATAAGATAGTAAACGTCCATTGGGTAGTCTTCTGCTTGGGTGTATTTCATTTCAATGCTGTGCAGTTTTCCTGAAAAATGGAAATAACTAAATAATGGAAAAATACTTGATTCCATATCGTGAATTTTTGCATATTTATTTTACTATTGTCATAAAGTTTCTCTCTAATAGATTACATTTTAGTAAATTTTAGAAGGTAAATAAAAGTTTCCGAAAGAGTTTCACATCTGTCAAGAATTATCCAGGAGCAGATATGGATGCAGACCACGTTCCACTGGCCCGCGAATATTCCGAGTAAAACTAAAAAGTAGAGAAAAGGAAGTTACATGCATACGATATACGTATGCTGAAAGACCTTAAAACTGAGATAGAAGTCTAAGCTACGTTAAACGAGCAAGATACTGATATCAGGGACAAAACGAACGAAGAGCAAAAGATCAAACATATTACAGAAATAATTTTTTGTGACATATTTATTTCTACTGCACAAGTAATTATAATTTTAATCATATTTAACAAATAAGTAATTACATTATACTATCCAACATTTTGATAATAAAAAAAATCACCTTCTGACCTCCCTCTATAGAATTATCAAAATAAATACTGATAATGAGAATTTGTTGCATATTGAAAAGAGTAAAAATGTTTGTCACAAATTTCTACTTTAATTATTGGTTTTTTAAAAGATTATAACTGTATATAACAAAATAACATTTTGATAATAAAAAAAATCACCTTCTGACCTCCCTCTATAGAATTATCAATATAAATGCTGATAATGAGAATTTGTTGCATATTGAAAAGAGTAAAAATGTTTGTCACAAATGTCTACTTTAATTATTGGTTTTTTAAAAAATTATAACTGTAAAAAAATGAAAATGAATAAACAATTTTTAAAATTGATCCTTTTATTGTTTGGCATTAAAATCAATTTGTTTGCCTTAATTCATGTTCTTCTCCTGGTTTTAATCTGTGTTTATCTTTTCTTTTTCATTTTTCTTTAATCAATGTTTACCATTCTTGTCAATTATTTTTGAAATTGATCATTTTGTTATTGAAATCGCAAAAGTAAAAATGTTATACAATATACCCAATGATAGGGAATCTTTTAGTGTCACACGCCTACATCATGTAGGCGCCCACGCTGGTTCTGGTTGCGCCAGGAATGCACAGGAATCCATCTTCCGTTCTTCTGATTATTCTGCTAATATGTTGTATCCGTTCGTTTATGTCTGTGGACTATGAATGTTATTCCTTCAATTCAACTACTAAAATACCATATTTCGAAAGCTTCCACACCAATCAGAAATTTTAGTTTTGGTCACCAGGTCTCATTTCCATACATTAGGATTTACCTATATATACAGCATTTTAAGACCGGTATTCAAAAATTTAAAGAAACTTGACATTTATCGAAGGCAGTTTTAGCCACGTCTATTCTTATCTTTACTTTTACGTCCCATATTATATTTAAGTTACCTCTAAAATCCTTATTTTTTTAACTCATTCTATGGCTGGCTTCTTTATTTTCAACTGAGCTTCTGGCGTCTACTGATTATTACTGAATTATCAAAGTTCACGGAATCTCCAAAAACACAAAAATTAAGCTTGTCAGAACACACATATTTCGCATTGTCGTTTAAGCTACCGAGTCATGGATGGTCAATGGTACAGAGGAATACGTAGCACTATATGCCCTATTTGTTTTCCGAAGTTATCACATGCATATTGCTTTTTAATATTAAATGTATTTAATACTTCTGAAGTTGTGCTTTGTTATAACTAGTTTCAAAATAAATATCATTTTTTAAGAAATACGAATTTCAGTTTTGGTACTTGATCTGTTTCGCGCTTTTTGTAGCTGATGGCTGTGGTAGCTTGCGTTATCCTTGGCGATCACACTATTTTTAGAAATATTTTTTTAAAGAGAATTTTAAACCAATTTTCAAAAAGTTTGGACTATTATCTTCATGATAATCTAAGTTGGCGTCTTTAATATTCTTTGCAGATAAGAGTAAACAGTTTGGAACCCAGCCGTCTTCCTAACCGGCGTGAATTATTGTTATGCGTTTTCCTTTTTGAAGATGCTTTCATCTCTTAATGTTTTCTAGGATCGACACATCCTTTACATCTTGTATCTTGAGTAGCAAGTCATGTTTATCCAGATATATGATATATTTATTTTTAACCTACCCTTCCTAATTTCAGAAAGATAATCAGTTCTTCAAGTATGTAATCTCTGTAATACTACTGATTTTTTGTCTATCTTACGATACTTAAAATCCATTGACTGTCTTGTGAAGATTTACATGTCTAGAATCTAGTGATTGGTAGATCGTGGTAAGTATTTTTAGTGATAAATTCTTCTTTCGGGTAGAACTGTATTAACATATTTTATCGTTCTTTTTTTTAATTCAAAAGGTCCTACAGCGCCATTCACCGCTCCTTTGTCTACTCAATTGTTGATAAAACTGTTCACCATCCGTTTATCCGTCCGTAAGACGATAATAACCCAAAGATGGTAATAAAGGTGAGAAAAGAGATATCGGATTTGCGGTTAGAGTTGCAACCAGGGCCCTGATTCTATTTCATTTCGATGTCGAAATTTAAAAGCGACTACGCCATGACAGTCGCAATCGCTAGCGATTCTCATTCATTTCGATTTTAGTTAAAAGTGGGGACATTTACTTTATCATTTTGACACTGCTCAGAATTTGGGTTGGCCGTCTTGTTTATTGGCTGCACCAATGACGTATAATTTGTTAAATGTTTATGTTTACATTTTACGATTTTTGTTTCTTTTTCGGTTGTTAAATTTTTAGTGGCCATTCTCAATGATTATATTTTGAATTGAAAGAAAATGGATGGAGGCTGTTGGTGATGGTGGCACTAAATTGTCTGTGGACCAAAAAGAAATTATGATGGCTTTTGACTTAGTGGTTATATTATATTTTTAAATTTACTGCAGCTTAGTATTGGTATTACTAAAAACAATACATTACCGCTCTAAAAATTCTTGATGAGTTTAAAGATTATTTTATATCTCCAAATAAGAGTGTAGAATTAAAATAAATTATTACAACCAAATTATTTATTATTTCTATCTTCCATTACAGCCTGTTGAATATATTCAAAAATTGTGGTTTCCAATTTAGTTTTAATATTGTGACATTTTATTTCTTTAATTTTTACACCACAGTATATTTTAAAAAATAATCAGTAGCATCTGGCTTGGGGCCCCCAGGTACCGCAGTTCTATTTTTATAGGTGTTAAAATTTCGACCAATTATGTGCCGATACAATTTCTGATAAAACGCAGCCATATTAATACTTTTTGCCTCAGTTTTCGTTGCAACAATCAAACAAAACAACACCGCCTAAACTGAACCTAACCTCGCTTCTCCCAGTCCCGCTAGTCATGTCAGATTAATTTCGACTCGAAATTAAATTTCAACCACTTTCTTGAAGTTGAAATTAATTTCGATAAATCGAAATTTAGTGACGTCCTTTGGTTAGTTCAGCTGAAATCCACTAGGCTCGTAAAGTCGCATTTCGACGTCGCCATATTGATTTCAACATGTTTTCAGTCGAAAACTCAATTAGAATCAGGGCCCAGAAGTACTGTTTTAAAGTAGCCGAAATAGTACACGCTATATATTATTTGACGCGCCTGAATAATACGAGAACAAATATATTCTTCCGGTTTTTATATCACTTCTGGTTGAAATGTTGTAACCATAAGTGCCACATTTTAGTCGCAAAAATAGTACATGTGATATATCAATAGACGTGTACTGAAATGTTGAGCTCAAATATGTCATCATCATCACTGGCTCGACAACCCTTTTTGGGTCTTAGCCTGTTCCAGGATTCTACTCCATTCGGATCTGTTTCGTGCTTTTTTTATTCCAGTTTTTTATTTTTAAGGTTGTTATATCATTTTCTATTTGTTCTAAGTATCTCAGCTTCAGTCTTCCTCTTGTTCTTTTTCCTATTGGTATCTGTTTGAATATTTTGTTTGGTATTTTGCCTTCTTCCATTCTTTCTACATGTCCTATCCAACGCAGCCGTCCTATGTTAATGAATGTTATAATATCCAGATCCTGGTATATCCTGGAACTTTGAACTAGTTGTATGTTCTTCGCAATATTCCGTTTTCTTTTGTGCCCTTATATATGTGTCGCAATATTTTTCTTTCGAAGGTGGCTAACAACGTTTCCTCTCTTTTAGTGAGTGTCCAGGTTTCTGAGCCGTATGTGAGTACCGGTCTTATTAAGGTTTGATATCTTTGGCATTTTGTTTTTCTTGCGATATTATCTGATCTTAGTTGCCTAATTAAGGCATGGTAACATTTACTGGCAATAAATATTCGCCTCTTCACTTTCTCCGTAACATTATTATCAGACGTGACTAGGGATCCCAAGTATATAAAGTTTTTTACCCCCTCAATGTTGTATTCTCCTATCGGTATATTTTGTGGCTGCCTTATTTCTGCGTTTTTACTTACCTGCATATATTTTGTTTTGGTCTGATTGATTTTAAGACCACTATTTTGTGCAGCTCGTTCTATTTGGTTGTATGCCTCTATCATTCCTCTTCTTGATCTTGCGATTATGGCAACATCATCTGCAAATGCTAGTATTTGCACGATTTTATTAATGATTGTTTCTCGAGTATTGACTGTTGTGCCCCTCAGTATTTTTTCGAGTACGATGTTGAACAATAAGCATGATAGAGCGTCTCTCTGGCGTAGTCCCTTGTTCACATTAATTGTTTCCTTTAATTCCTTTTGTATCCGGATTTTACTTTCTACTTTTAGAGATTATTTTATCGGTTCCATTAGTTTTGTTGGTATATTAGATTCTTTCATTGCTTTTATTAAGAATTCTCGGTTTATATTGTCATATGCGCTTTCAAAGTCTATGAAGGAATGATGTGTGTCGATGTTATATTCACTTGTTTTTTCGAGGATCTACCGCAGAACAACTGGTCTATTGTTGACTTCTGTTTACAGAAGCCACTTTGGTATTTGCCAACTATTTTTTCAGCGTGTGGTATAAATCTTTCATAAATAACATTGGACATTATTTTGCTTTATTTTGGAGCTTAAATATGTAGTTCCGGTTTTAATGCAATTTCCGGTAATAAATTGATGACCAGAAGTTGGGCAAAAATTACTCAAAATTAGTGAAATCGTATATTAATTGATACAAAGTTACACGAAGAGTTCAAATATTGACTTTCGGTTCTACTTCCTCTCACTTTAGGTGAAGACCTAGGGCTTACGAAGTATAATTGCTTGTTTACATTGAGTGATCGGCTTGCTTCCTAGCTGTAACATTATTAAGGTTATATAGTTCTGTATAATGAGTATCTTGTATTAGAATGAAATCTATTCATCGTATTGACATACTCCATTATTAGGCAATCTCGTTTCTTTGATAGATATGATGTCGATTTTCATATTATTCATTTCTTTGGTGAAATCTGCAAGTTTAACTTCAGCAATGAGTGTTTATACATTAAATGTCGCTAATATGATATCACATCGCTCTGATGTGATAATATCTGTAAAACCCACTTGAGACCTAGGGCCAATTTTTGGCGGAAAACCGATTTGTGCAAAATAAAACCCAATAGAAAAGTAATACTATGATAGAAAATGAAATAGTTATTAATAAATAGATATCAGTAAAGTTAAAAAGTATTTTCTTCATTCAATTTTTTTCGATTATATTTTGTGGTTTCCGTGGAATAAGAAGGGACAAATGTCTTTGGCTAAAGATCAAAGTATTAAGATTAAGTATAATATTCAAACTCTGTTTAATTAAGATATTCATAATTTTAATGTTATTAGAAAATTGATAGTTCAGAAGATATTACAAGTCTTACTCACCTGGTCGGAGCTTTAAACGTATTCTTTGAGGTGCTACTTGCACCATCTTATCTCTGACACCACCAGCGTTATAGCTTTCTCCAATTCCCTTCGCAATCGTTTTATCACCATCTATAACCCCTTTATGAACTTTTGTTAACTCTAGATTGGTAACAAAATTTTGTATATTATCCGGAAAAAATACGAATTCTTCGGGACACTTTTTATGTTGTTGAAACTTTAATTCAGGGTCAAAGCAGCGTGGTTCATTGCCAAAGTTCTAAAACGAAATAGAAAGGAACTTTACAAATTTTATGAAGAAAGCATTTCGGGAAGCAAAAGATAAAACTACAGTAGTGGACCTACTTAAAACACCTAAAATAATATCAAAGATGAAGATAGCACTCATGAGTATATAAAAGAAGGGGAGATAGAACTGGGAAGTAGAATGGGAGGACTTTTCTTCTATAAAAAAAAAAACAGAAAGAATGGCATAAAAAGAAAGAGAAGATTATTTAAAGGCTATGAAACAGGACACGGTAAAAAATAAAATGAAAATGCTTGTGAGATAGTAAAGATTGGAAGAAAAGAAGTGATCTTCTTGCTTCCCAAGCCTTCTCTTCCCCCTGATTTTACTTGCATAATGCGTGTAGAAAAGATAATTTATCGTTTTGAAGTATGTGACCCAGATACGATGTTTCTCCTATTTTAATTGTGTTTATAAGCTTTCTGCTATGTCCAATTCTTCTTACCACTTCTTCGTTTGTATAGCCATATTTCGAATGCCTCAATTTTTTTACGGATTAGGCTTTCAGACTCCAAGCTTCTATCCCAGTAGTTGTCACCATACATAACATTAGACAAACTTCAATTTAATAACCATACTAAATGTCTTATTTGTAAACGTTGACTTGTATTTTATAAATTCTTCTCGAGCTATTTCAATTCTGACCTTTATCTCCTATACTTGTATTACTGTATGTATACTAGGTATTTATACTTGTTGACCCTCTCTAACAGTTTATCCTCCAATGTCAGATGTATGTTGTCAACAGAGGTTTTCGAGATCACCATGCCTTTTCTGTTAATGATTTTTATAAAGAAGAAGAAAAATTTGTAAATCGTCTATGTTTTCTGCCATGATTGAGGTATCGCCTGAAAATCTTGTATTATTAATAATACTCCCTCCAATTCTTACACCTTCAGTTCTTTCCCATAGTGTCTCCTGAAATATTAGCTGGAAGTACACATTAAATAATTGTGGCGACAGCACACATCCCTATCTGACTTCTCTTTGAATTTCCACTCATCTAATTTACATCGTCGGAGCTACTCATTCAATCAAACCGTTCTCGAATTCTCTGAAGGGATTTTTTATACCAAAATGCCCTCCTGATGGACTGTCGTATAACTGACGAAGTACTTTAGCTATTCTGCTCTTTGGAATAACCAACTATGTTCTCTTTTCTGAACCATCACTATTTTCAAGTACTCGTTTAAACAAGCTTTCTTTTATGTAAAAGGAGTCCCACTGGGTCTAATACGTCTTAAAGTCTGAGCATAGGCTTAATATTTCTTTCCAAGACGGTCGACGGTTTTCTTTCTTCCATTTTAGAATTTTCTGTAAAAATAGATCTTTTTCTTGTTCTTCTTTGATCTTAGTAGGCGTCCACTCGGCGTTAACTATCGTTGTTCATAGTATTGCTGCCTCATTGGATTCTGTTTTCTTGCAGTGAAAACACTCTGCTAGGCACGGTCTTCTAGAATCCTTGTTTTAAGAGCTTCCTTCCATAGGAGTACTTATAGAAGTGTTCTACAGATTTCACTACTGCTATATGTTTTCTTCTGGTAACGCAGTAATTTCGCTCAGGTTTTGAAAGCATTTTACTAAAATTTTCCAGAACTCGTTACTGTTCTCCTTAAATCTGAGATAGCACTCCTTCAATTCCCACATTACTAGCATTGGTATCTAAGATACATTTTTCTTCTCACAGTAGATACTAAAATATTGGTGCCGTGATTAAACGCTTTTTTCAAGTTTAAAAAGCCAGTTTGACACTTTCCATTCCAGCCGTAACTTCTTGCGCCCTTTGTAAGTCGCGTTATTAGTTTAGCGGTATCTGTAAACTTTTTAATGAACCTCCGACAATAAGTACCTAGCCCAAGAAAACGCCTCACTTAATGTTTGACCCATATATGACCCAGCTAATTGACATTACTTTAAAATAGCACTTCTAGGGGTTTAACATCAATTGGTCAGATTTAAAGTCGAATAAAGTCGACATTTTTTAAATTCTTTATTTGGTCTTAAAAGGTCTCCCCCAAGATGATTATGTTATTATGTCAAATTGCCACAATCCAGATCCTGTGGTGAAGACCGTCTTCTCTTTACCTACTTTACCTTACGTCCATTTTTACCTGCCAGTATTCAGATTTCAAATTAAAAGTAGAAAACAATTTCTTTCCAGCCAATGTATCCAAGGTGTATCTAGTAGTTCTTCCCGTAGTTCTTCCCGTATTTCCTCCTTTTCGTACAAAGATGTCACAATACCTCCGAAGAAATTTCCTTGATTTCCTTTTCACCAATTAATTTAGAGACTGTCCAGCAACACATTTGGAAAAACTTGTCTTTACAATTATCAAATGTTGTCTGATGGATTATGAACATCACAGTTATACAGGTTCCTACTTTTGCTTCTTCTTGATGGTCACTAGGTAGTCATTGACATTGATAAGCCTTATAGCAATTTCTTTAGTAGAAGTCATCAATTCCTTCCAATTATGATTCCTCGGCCAACATCTTTGTCATGAATCCAAGGCTCCATCATAACAACGCACGATTCCTTCTTGCACAATTCCCCGTAGCCGCTCTACTATGATCATTTCACTTCTCGCAGGTACAACTGAATCTTCTTCAACGGCTGCTTGCACTGTGCTGTCATCATGTGGATGAATAAATACCTCCTCGTTAGCAACTGTGATTACCTTATTTTTAAAATCCAATTCAATGCATTACGTCTATTCCTAATATAACGTCGTCTTAGATTTCAGTAACTAGAACGGTATGAACGAACTTTTGTGCTCCAATTCCTAATTGTATCTAGATTTCTAAATAGAAATCCCAACCTCGTTATAACAATAACGCTTTTTAAAATTTATTTCTCTATCTAACGCAACTATCCTCACGATATTTCAAAGAAGCTATTAGTATGAGAGAGTCTTTGGAAAAGTTCGGGGTTGAAATTGTCATCCTAAGGCTAACTCGTTCTAGTATTCCTGCTGGTGAGTTTCTTGATTTGTTTCATACCCAATGTGCTTATATAAAATTCGTGACTTATTTCGCCACAATTCCAGTACCTTATGATCTTCGTTTTTTGTATATAATGCTTTTCATCATATTAACAAGCTGGTCAAATTCATCTTCAACTTCTTCCTCTTTTACCTGTACCATCCAGAAATATATATATATATATATATATATATATATATATATATATATATATATATATATATATATGTGGAGCAGCGACTGTCAAATAAGCAGTGAAAAACAATGGAATGGGGTGAAATACGTTTCACACTAAGAGGAGAAGAGAAACAAGCTAGATGTTAACTATTCCACATATTGGCGGTAATGTTTTGTTTTTTTATATACAAAATAGCATCAGTTATCTATATCCGTCAGAGTACGGTTCCCTTAGACAAAAGAGAAAAGTTTCTTGGCTTTCTTTTTTAATTAAAAACAACTTTACTCTTCTAAAAGTTTCTTGTTTCTTTTCTCAATTTATCTGACTGAGATCTTATATATATATATATATAATATATATATATATATATATATATATATATATATATAATATATATATATATATATATATATATATATACCATTTTTTAAAGTAAAACACTTTCACGTCACAAAGTGTGTATTTTCCAGAACATCAACCTTATAGTTCAAATTTTCCTAACATAGCTAATAATACGAAACCCATACGGAACTGCTCGATCCTTCATAGGCGTCAACATGGTGTAATAATCAGAAAAATATAATCATCATTATATTGGAAATTTTAGAATTATATTAATAATAGTATAATTCTATTATTATTATTAATCTCCAAAAACATTTATTATTATTAATAATATAAATTTTATGAAATAACTCTTGAAGTCTAATATTCCACAAAATAATATTTTTAATTAAATATATTAGACAATTGTACGCAACTGATACGGAAATATATCAAATAATATTGACAGTTCAGCGAATGGTAAAAGTGTATTAAGTGTTGCCGCTTTTTTAGAGTAGAAATTTTGTTTATGTTTTGACGTCTTACACAATTTGATCATAATGTAATATATATTAATAAATTGTATTTATAAATGCATTTTAAATTTAGATTAATAGCTTTAAAAACTAATTATTGAATTGTATTGTGATTGTGATATGCCAAAACAAATAAAAGTCTGTAGAAAGCTGATAAGCTTTCATAATATAAGAGAGATTATTTTGAAAAATAAATAATGGCGGGACGTTTTTGTTATTAACGCCCTAAAAGAGGTAAGTTTAAAATTTAAAATATATAATTTTGTATTAAAATGGTTTCTTATGTATTTTAATGTATTGCAGTAGTCTTAAAACTAAGTGTATTTACTGTTAATATAATAGTTTGACAAATAGTTGACATTTTAAAAATTCCTCACTAAATACTAACTATTCTGATGTTTTGGCAACGCTGTGGGGTTCTAAAGATGTAAATCTTGAATGACGTGCAAGCTTTTTTATCTGAAAAATGCTATATATATATATATATATATATATATATATATATTTTTGTTTCTAAGTTTTTCTACGGTATATATATATATATATATATATATATATATATATATATATATATATATATATATATATATATATATACCGTAGAAAAACTTAGAAACAAAAATTCTAGAATAAAGCAACACCACAAAATATCTAGACACACAAAAAATAAAAAATAAAGAAGAAACTATTGATCATGTTCCCTTTTAAAAAATATAAATAATAAGAAAAATGTTTACAAATACATCTAACAAATCAATTGACACCCTTCATAAATTTCAAACTGTTTCACACCAACAACTAGAAAACTATTCCATATGAAAATACTTTTAAAACTAGCAAAAAATTACAGAAAAATAATTACGAGTGCACCAAATACAAAAGCATTATATTATCTTATTGGCTTGACAAACAAAATATTGTATTTATTTTATTGTATTTATTACAGAAATGTACTTACGGGATCATAACACCAAGCGCATCCCGGAGTTTGAATGCATTCGCCACATCTTTCTTTGAGTGCACAACTATTGGGGGTAGAAATCTTTGGGGCAATTTGGGCTTTCACAATTGTAATGAATAATAGTAAAAGAACATTATTACGTACAAAGCACTTTATCGTTGGCACCTCCATTACTTTATAAAAGACAAGATTAAATAAAGTTCATGTACAAAGCAAAAACAAAAATGTAATCATTTTCAAATATTTTAAATTCTTACCTAACAGCGATAACAATTTTGTGGTTTTACTTAATGGTTTATTATATTAAGTTCACTTATCGCGCTAAATATAGTTGGAACCATTGATTTTTACCCCGTTCGTCATCATTTCAAACGTACAAAATAAGTTGAGCTGTAGTTCTGAAATTGTATACATGCCAGTGGCGGCTTTTCTTTATGTGCTGCTGAGCTGCAGAACTACCAAACAACCATAGCAAATCTTAATTATTAAAGAATAATTAATATAGTTTTATTTCAAATCTGCCATATTATCATATTAAACATAAACTGTTAATAATAATTCACCAACAACGATGATTAATATTATTTTTTTTACGTATTTACTCCTCTAGTGAAACCGTATAATTTTTTTACGTATTTGGTGCTCCAGTGAAGCAATCTTTTTACGTATTTGCTGCTCCAGTGAAGCCGCGTCGATAACAACCGAAACACTGGCAGCGGTTAAATGCATTTATTAGGCAAACGGCGATCTTAGCCGATGTGCTTCGGCAATCGGCTGATTAACGGCCTCGGAAATGTGTTTGCGAGCTGCAATTCACGACAGTTATTCGTGACCGTTGCATCTGTGCCAGAGAACTACGAACGCAGAGAAGCGACACTCCTTTCATCTTGCGTGGGCAAGCCGCCAACGAGTGAAAATGACAGGAAAGCACCTTATTTTTTAATAGTCAGTGGGCATATTACACAATATAAATTCTTAAATAAAATTTAGCATTTATGTTGACTTTCAATAAATATGAAATATTGCACATGAAATATATTTGTATTTATAAATAATACTTCATTACTTACAACTATAAGAGTATTAGTATATTCGAAGTGTATTGTAAATAATGAAGTATTTAACTTTTGTCAATATCTCATCTTAATAAATTTACAGTTTTCTCCTGATTAAGTCACAAAATTGTCACTAAATATTGAGATATACAATAAATAAAGTTTTAATATTTTTTATTTGTAATTCCCATTTAAATATTTATTCCCTAAATATGTTGTGTACTCCGATCCATATATTTGATCTTTGTTATTTATATGTAACGAATTAAACATTGACAGACAACTTTTGTATATAGCAAAAAGTAGATGAGCATTTAGTTTTTTCATAATTTAATGTAAGTTTGTTTGGTGAAAAAGACAGCAAATATTTGAAGTTATGTTAATGTAAGTTTGTTTATTTGCAATCATGTTTTTATTTTGAAGTCTTGTTCTGTTATAATTTTAAGATTTTCCCAATTTTCGATCTAATTATGTCTCCAACAATTTTTAGTTTGAGCATTTTAGGAATTTCTTTGTTTCGTTTAAATCAAATATTCTCGTGTATAAAACCCTCTATATATTTTTATTTCCTAAAAATACTATATTCGTATTGTTGTCTGCGAGCGCTTTCACACCAGTAGGCCAACATCTGTGTTGATTTTTTGACCTGCGCCTTCGGAGACAATAAATTTAATGTGTGTTCGTAATTCTCTGGTTTTTATTAATAATTAATAAATAATAAATAATTGACTGTATAAAATTCTGTGGGGCTTTTGAGCTCGCCTTACGAGGACACGATGAATCTGAAACATCAGATAACCCTGGAATTTTTCGTGGTTTAGTGAATTTTTCTGCTGAACTTGATAAAACACTTAGTGAACACCTTACAAATGCGACAATTTTCAAAGGTACCTCAAAAACAATACAAAATGATATTTTGGATTGCATGCTAGAAGTATACGCTGAGGAGATTTTAAACGAAATCAATGAAGCCCCATTTTTAGCAGTGATAGCTGATGAGACAACGGATGTTTCTATGAAATTTCAAATGGTCATTGTTTTTCGTTATGTAAAAAACGGTGCTCCAGTTGAAAGGTTTTGGACTTTTTTGCTTCCAGAAAAACATGATGCTGAAACCTTAGCTAACACAATTTTGAATGTTTTAGACCCAATATTAAAGAATAACAAAAATAAGCTCATTGCACAAAGTTATGACGGAGCAGCTGTTATGAGTGGGATACATGGCGGAGTGCAAACAATAATTAAGAGAAAATATGAAACTGCTCATTTTGTGCACTGTTACGCCCATCAATTGAATCTAAAAGGTGCAGTGCCTTTACTAAAATTTATAATTTCTAATAATTTAGAGGACACATTAACAGAAACCAAAAAGTTGATACAAATTCTGGTGACTACGCCAATGACCACAGCAGAAGCTGAACGTAGTTTTTCAACTTTAAAACGGATCAAAACATTTTTAAGAAATTCAATGTGCGAAGACAGATTAACAGCCCTTTCCACACTCTCGATAGAAAAAAAGTTCATCGCTTCAATACCGAACTTTAACGATAAAGTAATCGAAAAGTTTGCGACAAAAAAGGACCGGCGTATTAATTTCCAATTTAGAAAAATGCAATAAATGTAAGTTAATCAGATTTTTATAGCATGTCGTTATTAGTTACTATTAATTAGTATTAAAGCTAATTTTATTGTTTTTGTTTTCGTATGTTATTCTATTTCTATTATTTTATATTGACCGTGGTTCATGCAGCACACCCTATAGCAGATGTCACGAGCCGCCACTGATACATGCTCTGGATACTTCCCATTAATGATATTACGCAGTAATGGATTTGCAATTATACATGTTACTTACCACAATTATGGTTAATAAAGACAAAATATATGGTATTTAGAGAAAAAGAAAGAAAGATAGAGATCTCAAACACGATGGGCAGACCAACTGAAGACTCTGGTAGGAAAATTCCTAAATGAAGCCGTCTATCTGGTACAGGATCACAGCCAATGGAGACAGCAAAGTTATAATATTTAGATACCACCATGTCCTGAAAAGGAGTCAGTGAATGAGGAGAAGGAGTCACCTTCTATAATTACATGAAATGTTTTATTGCATTCGCTAAGTTTTTTTTGTATAAATCTGTTGCTTTTTCTTTGTTATTATCTTCTGGAACATACACGTCAATAATGATAAAAATCCTCTATAAAATTTTAATCTTGTTGTTGCTATTCTTAATATGATTAATTTAATTTTATTATATTGTAACGAAATAGCCCATCTCCAATGAGTGAGGTTTAGACGTGGCCGTTGGCATGTGCCGCTGAGCCAATGGTTTGCCAACGAAAATCGCTCTAGTGTCGGTCTCCATCCAAAAAAGCCGGCGAGAGCCGGTAGTGGGGACGAGCCAATCGTTCGCTTCACGCACAAGGATCTACAGACCGAGAATTTGGTATACAAATTCCACGGCTTCGCGCAATCGTACTTGGAAGTTCGTATAGTCGGCTGGAGTTACAATTTGCCAAATTTAAATGTAATCGTTTCTACTCATTCATATTAATATTATAATGTATAATATATTAAAGTTTTTAATATTGGTAATATTATTAAAGCTTTTAATACTATTTTTTAATATTAATAATAATATTAAGTAATTAAATATTGCGCCTTACTTAAAAAAAGTACGAGATAAATATAACTCGTTTTTTATATCTTTACGTATGCTAAGGGTAATAAATTAAAATCCTTCAATACAAGACTAAAGGTAGGTACCTATAATTTGAATAAGCTGGTTTTGCCCATACTGACTTTCTAATTCTAATTACCTACTAATTTGCATAACAGTCAGATATTGTACCTGGTCATAATGCTGTTTTAATATTAGGATTTTCATTTCGCTTGTTGAAACTTCATCCGATATTAATTTCTTGGAAATTTTTATAAGGCTGAGAGTACTTAATCGGAATACTCGAGTATTGTTGAAAAAAACTGAAATTGAAGGTACTACACAATCGAAGAACTCAAAAAAATTAAACATTTCCGGTATTCTTTTTCCAGATCGTATTTTGTTTTCGAGACATATTTAAATTTGGGAATTTTTTATTATTTTTCCACTTGTTTCAGGTTCTTTTTTAATTTAATTTCAGTATATAAAAGCCTTTACAATATTATCCAAATTTTATTTGGATAATTGTATATTATTAATTATAATTAATATTAATATTAATATTAAAAAATAGTATTAAAAGCTTTAATAATATTACCAATATTAAAAACTTTAATATATTATACATTATAATATTAATATGAATGAGTAGAAACGATTACATTTAAATTTGGCAAATTGTAACTCCAGCCGACTATACGAACTTACAAGTACGATTGCGCGAAGCCGTGGAATTTGTATACCAAATTCTCGGTCTGTAGATCCTTGTGCTTCACGCGGCATGCACGTGGTGCAGTTGAGATTGAGGCAGCGCTGTATGCAGTCATGGAGTGGACCAACGCGAAAGTGTATGAACTTATTGAGTTTTACCGTGATCATCCTGTCCTGTGGGACTGTCGTTTGAAAGTGTACAAAGATAGAAATAAGAAACAAGATGCTCTACAAGAAATCACAGATTGCTGTTGCTAAAGAAGATGTGGAAAGAAAATCAAGAACCTAGTGTGTCATTTTTTACGTGAAGTAAAGAGGGAGAGAGACTCAAGTAAATCTAGTGCCGGAAATTCTTATGTGTACAAGAGTAAATGGCTCTGCTTCAACAACATGCTATTTCTCAAGGATCGAAATACACCTAAAGAAACGAGTTTTCGTTATCGAAACACTAAGTTCATAGAATGATTAGTAATTATATTTTACATTAGTATACAGCACACATGACAGTTTAGGGCTTATTATTTGTCATGTTGGAAGGATACTATTCCCGCCGGGGAAGTAAAGAAGTCTGCAAATTCATTTCTAACGACTTGTGCCTCAGCAGCGCTTCTTCTTGAAGGTCGAGGAATGTTGACCAAAGCTTGGTTTGAAGGGATTGTCTCTAAGTTCCTGGATTGATCTCACCTGCGGTTAAGCACTCAGAGTCGAATATTCCGGGGGAGTGTACACTGATTTGGAGTTACTTTTCCTCAAGTAGTTATGCAGATAAAGTACTGCCAACAAAACCATCGTATCCCGCTCTAGTTGTAATAGCATAGGTCTTCTTAGTATACGGTACACAGAGGATATTATGCCAAACGCATTCTCTGACACTCTACGCGCTCTACTTAACCGATAGTTAAACACTCTTTCTTTGGAATTCTTATTTTAAACACCTGGGAATGGTTTCATAATGTTTTTTGACAAAGGGAAAGCATCATCGGTCACAAAAACATACGGTGTTTCATCTATTCTTCTAGGAAGAGCAGTAGGAGAAGAAAGATCCATTGTGTTCTTCTGAAGGCAATGTTTGAATGTTGTGTGACTAAACACACCTCCGTCTGATATTCTTCCTTGACAGCCAACACTTGCGTAGGTAAAGTTGTAGTGCACATCTACCACCGCAAATAGAACTATAATGAAAAACCCCTTGTAGTTGAAATATTCTGTGCCACTATGAATAGGTGCTTGCAACGTAATATGCTTCCCATCAAAGTCCCCCACACAGTTTGGGAAATTCCACTTATCATTGAACTCTTTTGAAATAGGCACTCTGCTTAATTTTGTGGCATCTGAAACAAAATTATAACGATATAGCAATATTAAATCAATAATCTTTTCCTTTTTTTATGACAAGCATTCAAATGAAGATGAAGATGCTGCAGACGACACATAGATTGTCGACCAGGACCAAGTTGCTGGACCAAGTAAAGACACACCTCGAAGAGGCGACAATGGAAATAAAAGTTTGCCAAAGGAACCGTCTGTTCGTCCAGGCGGAGGCCCACAAAAGAAACAAAAGACATCAGCTACAGAAGAATGTTTACTATGAGAGCTATCCAAGGACGGCATACATCAGGTATGGATTAGTTCAAGTCTTTTAGTAGGAGAGCTAGTAGGACTGCGTATTAAAGACCTACCATCGCCAAATGTTCAGAAAATTGTGAAACAACTTATTAGCACTATTCTGTTTGAAGCTGAAATGGGCAAGTACGACTATGGCAACCCATTGAGCGGAAGTTACTCACAGCCTTTCTACCAAATACCGAACAACGTACACCAACCGATTCCTGCTCCGATGCCACCAGCTTGTCCGAATCCAAACCCATATTTTGAGCAGTCGTCTTTTCAGAGACACACACAAGCAACCTGTCCGCAGTCATCCATGAGTCCCACGTCTTCAACCCATACGGTAACGGACAATGACTTTCTTGACACTATGTTGATGCGACTGTAGTTCCCACCTCATCTTTTCAAAATTCAAATTTGAGTTAGACTTTTCTTCATTTTGTGTCAGAATAAACTTTAGACACATTTTATTTGAGTACCTACATGTTTCATTTGTAGAAATTGTTTTATTCACTTGAGACACATGTCGACCAAATAAAGGTTTTGTATATGTCATAGACTATGTTTTCTTACCTTGATGTAATCCTGTAAAACGCTGACAATTACCTCACAAACAATAGGGATGATGGCTGATATTATTTGCTATGAAATCTTGAATGTGTAACTTAACGAGTGGTAAGAGTCTCCCGTTGCTATGCACACCAGATAAAATGTCACTGAATAGCACTGGTTTCGTTTAAGTTTAAAACATGGCTAATTCCGTCTGCGCGACAGAGATGCGAGTACTTTTTTTAAAGCAGAGTGGGCATTCTGACTGTTTATTATTCTGTGGTATTACGTTTGTATTTCTCGATATAATTGAGGATTTGTGTCTAAAAATTACATTATATAAATATAAATAAATCATCATTTTTACATAATTATAATATGCAAAATAACTTATAGACATGAAAAAAAGCAGAATGACAGTTAATAAGGAGATAGGTGATCTGTGGTTAATAAAATAAATAACTTTGACAAATCCAATAGTTTGATCCAGTTTAATCCGTGTTCTGTGGCATAGATTAAGGAAAATACATCGAGTTAGATTCTAACCATGATACCACAGAATAATAAACAAACAGAATACCCACTCTCCACGGAAAATTAAGTACGCGCATCTCCTCCGCGCAGACGTTCCGCCATGTTTTACGAGGATTTTAAAGGGAACCAGTGTTGTTTATGTGGTGTGCATGGAAAAAAAAACCAGGTTTATTTGACTTACGGCAATCATACACATACTATACAATTATATTAACAGTTTTAAATATAATAACATAAATATAATATAATTAAACATAAATGTAAACAATTGCATAACCTCACAAATCATATGTTGTGTCCTCCTAAAACATGGCGCGCGTGCTGAAAAACTTCAAAGGCGGCATCTGAGAGTGGCCCTTCTGATTCTTTATTATTCTGTGATGATACTATGACCACAGAATAATAAACAATCAGAAGGGACACTCTCAGATGCCGCCTTTGAAGTTTTTCAGCACGCGCGCCATGTTTGAGGAGGACACAGACATATGATTTGTGTGGTTATGTAATTGTTTATATTTATGTTTAATTATATTATATTTATGTTATTATATTTAACAATGTTAATATAATTGTATAGTATGTCTATGATTGCCGTAAGTCAAATAAACCTGGTTAATTTTTCCATGCACACCACATAATTTCTTTAAAATCCTCCTAAAACATGGCGGAACGTCTGCGCGGAGGAGATGCGCGTACTTAATTTTCCGTGGAGAGTGGGTATTCTGTATGTTTATTATTCTGTGCTATGACTATAAGATAAGATATTGCGCATGTTTTTGTGACGTCATTGGAGACTTGCACGTTCGAAATGTCAGTTTTTGTATATATCCATAAATAATCTTTAATAAATAGTTTGGAGATATCCTTATGTGTACGAGTATTGTAATTATTAAACCTCTTAACTTATATTCGTCTAGTAATTTCATCACAGAGTGCATACAAATCTCATTTAACTTTAATAAGAATTCAAATTCTAGTCTCCAATGACGGCATGGGCGAACCCGACCGATTTTGAGCTACGGGAAGATCCTATCTTGTTATTCATAGTATCATGATTCTAACTCCATGGGAATTCTAGAAATCTGTTATTACAGCACATGTGTCTATGTTCTTTGACATAACAACTGTCATAAGTCATACCTGTCATGGTTGAGTCAAAAGTTGGTAAACACAAATTTTAGGTCAGTCAATTTGTTTTCTATAGTTTTCTGTAAGTCTGTAAATAAATACTAGGAAACACGAAGTTTAATCTCAATATTACCAAATTATAAACTTTCTATAAACAATGTCGATGGTAACCTCACCTTCCATAGAACTTAGTTCTTACCGAGACCAACATTTTAAGGTAATTGTAAAATTTCTTAGTATAAGGATTCTTAATTAGCTTTTGCTTCTAAATACAGGGTACTAGAGCCGAACAGGACGGATTATTAAGACTATCGACCACATTATACGTTGGAAATTTATCTTTTTATACAACTGAAGAACAAATCTATGAACTCTTTTCAAAATGTGGGGATATAAGAAGAGTTGTAATGGGTTTAGATAAATATAAGAAGACACCCTGTGGGTTTTGTTTTGTAGAGTACTATAACAGAGCTGATGCAGAAAACTGTTTAAGGTAAAATTAAGCTTGAACTTGGGATTGTTTAACATTCAGTGTACAAATTGTTCTTTTAGGTATATAAATGGTACTCGTTTAGATGATAGAATAGTAAGAACAGATTGGGATGCTGGATTTATAGAAGGTAGACAATATGGTAGAGGAAAAACAGGAGGACAGGTAATGTTATAAACACATTTATTTCTTGTTGTAAGCTGGAGATATGTTTTATTCTTCTAATGTTAACAAAGAATGTTTTTAGGTACGTGACGAATATAGGACTGATTATGACTCTGGAAGAGGAGGGTATGGTAAAATAATCCAGCAAAAAATTGGAATTGAGACTCCAGCTTTTTTGAGATAAACATTGCTGTATTTTTCATTTATTTTAAAGTTAGGTTGAATATAAAAGAAATGACGAAATATGAAAATCTTAATTCAATTTTGAAATGTTTTTCATTGAGAATGAAAATAATTTATTGATTGTACAATATTTGATATAACATATAAAAAATTAATAAATAGAATAACAAAAATATGTTTTTATTTCATTTAGACTGTTGTTTCCTAAAAATGAGAATTCTTTTTAGTGTTTTATCATAGTAGAATATCTTAATATAGTAATTTAAATGTATGCTTTTTCAACTGATGATAATAGCTATATAATGATTTTATAAACAAATACTATTATGTTTTGTTTTGAATTTTGTTACAAAAACCAAAGTTTTTTTCTGAATTTCAATGAGTGTATGCCAAATGAAATAGGTATAGTAATTTAGACTTTTTAAACACTTAGTTTTCATCAATTCTTTCAAATTTCAAAACAAAATTTGGAAAAATTTTAACACCCATTGAAAGTAACAGCTGAAAATAGTATGTTTGTAAATCTTTTTATGTTTTCAGTCTCATGTTTTATTTATATCATCTGGTAATTTTATAGGGCGCCTTGAAAATGTTTTAGGAAAATTGTCAATTTTCTAACTGCTGAACTGTTTACCCTTAATTGACTCTAGATTTTTTCAAAATATTTTTATAAATCTAGTTGGTGCCCCTTTGTTACAAAATGATTCTAAATGCTTAGTTATTTTGTGTGCGGTAAATAAGTTACACTTGAATTTAAAAAAAAGTTTAATCTTTAACAGGCGTTGAGATGTCCCTCAGACCTCTGCACTATGTATGTGTCAATCCCAACGGGTTTGTGGTTAGTACCTCCTCTACTATTTATCATTTAGATTTGCGCTTCCCAGTACCTTTAAGTTAGTCTGTTGTCAATCTTAGGGTGTAGTGTAGTGATTACATTGCATTTAGTTTTTGAGTTAGGCTGTGCTTGTGGTCCCTTGGATGTCACAATGGCGGGTATGTTACAAAGTACAATTATATCGGATTTCCAATGAAATAATTTTGTTTATTTTTCTTAGTCAAAAATGTCAAAGTATCCTCATTGTTTAAAAAAGAACTTTTTTTAAACAATGGTATTCAGTTCCAAAATGAGTCTAATATGTTGATTCTAATTTTGAAAAGAAAGTAATGGAAATAACACTCACATCTGTGGACCTGTCTTAGTCTTTGTTCATATTTAGAAGACATTATTGTGGTCTCGTTAGGCCCATTTTAGAGTATTAATCAGTTGTATATCATCATACAACTGTTTCATTGAAAGGGTCCAAAATCAATTTTTGAAGATAACAGCTTTTACAAGGAGTAGATACCTGAGAGAGCACTATGACTATCAGTGGGTAAGAGACAGTATTGATTTATTAACTCTTGAGGAGGACATTGTTAGATTTATGTTTCCTGCACAAAGTCATGAATGCTATTATAGATTGTTATCACTCATTATTCCCAAAGTATACAGGAGCAACAACAGACAAACGGAAATCTTTTCAGTGCCATTTCACCACACTACTTATGGTATCACTGAACCAACTACACGATTGGCCCGGAGTGCTAATAGCCTGCCAAGACAAATAAATATTTTTGAGTCCAAAATTAGTTTATTTAAAAAACAACAAAAAGGTATCTTCAATAACTGATTTCTTTTACATGTCAATACTAGTCTACCTTTGATAGCTGTATCAAAGTTTGTTATAGTTTATTGTTCTGAGATGTTTGATATTTTAAAAATTTATCCTTTTTAAGGTGTACTATGACCATGAAACCGAGCCAGAGGAAACTGCTGACAAGGAATCAGTTGAAGTGGATATGATTCAAACTTCTGAAGAATCGTCTTCTGATAGTGAAAATGTTGAAGGCAGAAAAGAACCAAGATACTTTTATGGTCGAAATAGATTCAAATTAAGATATGACACAAGAGCTTATTAAATGCACAAATAAAAAACTTGAAAACATCTGATCTAAGTATTCAAATCCTTCAAGAACGGAACTCTGCAATGTCATAGTTGAAGAAATGAGTTGCTTTCTTTGTTTCTCTGATTTATACAGCTGTGTTTAAATTAAACCATGAGAATATAGCCTCCTTTTTTGCAACAGATGAAACAGGACAAGATATTTTTAGGTACTCTTTGTCTGCAAAAAGATTTTCCGCTCTTATCAACTGTTTGAGATTCGATGATCCAGTTGATAGACAAGAACGGAAAAAAACTTTTTGTTTTTTTTTGCAAAATACCATCGAGTTAGATTATCGATGCAAAAGACATATATTTTTATATTTATTTGTCATTCAACATTTTGTATACTCTTACGTATGAATTTCAACTAATTTAATTAGTTGAATAATTATTATTGATTTATCTCAAGTATCCTTCGTCTTTTTTACATACCGATGCACGTCATTATCGTCATTACGTCAGAGATCGAAGTTGACATAGTTGCCAAAGTATAAAAAAATCCTTACACACTGTTTAAATATTTCGTGTTGGTACCATGTGACGTCACGGGCTATGACGCCGATGACGTGCACCGTTATATAAATTAGATGGAGTGTATATCTGTTCCTGTTTTTTCATGAGATTTTCAGAAAATATATTTAACAACAATTTTTTGCCCTAAAAAAATTTTGTACACAATGGTTAATTTTATTTAACATAATGTACTAAAAATAAAAAATTGCTTTCTTCTTCGATAATACATGTTTAAAGTCAGAACGCCGTTTACGCACATACTTAATATTCATCACGCCAGTTGGGACTTATATATACTTAATCTATGGTTGGGGGTTACAAATTACTTTTGGCAGGTCACGGAAGTTTATAAATAATTCTCATTGTATAAACAAATGTACCTATAGAGGTTCAACTAAAGCATTAAATATGTTGGAATTTATTCGTATAAACGGTAATAGTTTTCATAACAAACTTTACAAATGTTATTTCAGTTTAGTTCGATCATTTTTGGAGTTGCGTTAATTAATATACAAAATGCTACAACTATAGGCATTGTTTAAATAGGACTAGTTAGCCAACGCAATGTATAAATTTGTTTGATTCTAATTGAGACAGTCACTAGATGTCACCACTCTTTCTGTCTCAATAGATTTTAATGTACCATTGTTTGTTTGATATACGTTATAATAGATGGTGCTATGTGAAAAAGTTAAAGACTAAACTAAACGTCCATTTTTGATCCCATGAATTAAATTCGCCAGCGTTGCAATATTTCACTGACAATAGTAACAGGTTTATTTACAAATAAAAATGTTACAAAAAACAGACCATGAATCACTTAAGGTATTCATTTAAAATATAATTATTACTATCAACAAGTAAATATCGTGTCAACTAAAATAGTACACAAACATACTTTGGCTTCTAAATCTTCATACATCTAAATGAGTTTAAAGAATTTAAATATTTTATTTTATTTGGAAGTGTATTTAAAAAATTTGGTCCGAGGTAAGTAAAACATTTTAATCCTATACGTTTAAAACATAAAAAAACATTTGTATGAGAAGTGAACAAAATTATGTATTTAGAAATAAATTTTATCGGATAATACATACATTCGATAATATTTGAAAGAAAGTGATTTTAAATTAAAATAATGTTACTTCCATAATAAATAAATAGTTTTTTACAGATGGCTGGAAATATTTGTTATTACAAATGTGCTTTATCACCATACAAAATTCATGAACTGAGAATCTTCAGATTTCCGACAAAAAATCCTTCGGCTTGTCAACTTGGATATTACACTCTGGTAAGTAAACATAAACTTTTTTATATTCTTGTATTTTACACCGTTTCCGTTACGTAATTAACTTAAAAAATGTTTATTTTTTTTTCATTCATCATTTTTATTATCGCCACAGTGCATGCATCATATTCGAGATGCATTAATTTGAATTTTACGTTTTCGTTGGTATTATAATTATGATATAATAAACTTCGGAAAAACAAATTAGTGAATAAATATCACTATTATTATTATTGTATTGAAAAGTAGAAATAAGTTCATCTTTATCGGAGAACTAATTTATACACCAGTCCATCTGGGAAAAAATCATTGATTTCACGTGGAAATCTTATACAGATATTTGAAGGTTCTAAAATATATATAAGGGTTAGTTAATGATAAATGTGTGAAGACATACAGGTGATTTTGGTTTGTTTTTGTTTAAACAATTTTAAAAAGTGAGAGGTCATTCTTTTGCCTATAAAACGTTTTTTATTCAGTTTAGAGAAAAATAGTTGAAATAAAAATTGTAGATCTTAAAAAGTTCTTCCATTTGCGAGTTTCTGTTAAAATACATAAAGAATTCACCAAAATAGTTGCAAAAACCTTTGATTTTGCAGAAATTTATAAATTTTAATAACTTTGTTTTTGCATAATGGTATGTAATGTAACTAATAAAAAAGTAACGATTTGTTTATCATGGAAAGCGATTATTTAAACAACTCTTTGTTGAGCTACTCCAGTTTCAAGAAAATTAATGTTTTACGTGCCACAGAAGCCAAGATATTGCAAATTTTGCAAGCGGGCTTCATTTTAAAAAAGGTTCAAATCGAAAAAGCTCAGATGGGTCTCCATTCTATTTTTTCGAAGCGGTATTTTACCAATACCGTCATTTTAACGGGTTATAAATTTTTACTTCTTTACTGCATATGCCATCTGTAAGTTGGATCGTACAATTCAGATCTACATTTAGGGTCCCTTCAATTTTCAGCTCTTACTGTTAATAGACAATGGAATTATGATTTTAAGAATAAAATGCTATGGTTTTAAATATAGAATGCTCTCTTGGCTTGTAATGGACATAGAATATTCTGTTTTTTTAGAAAGTGTGTTTTTCACCAGTTTTTCATTAAGCTTCTATATAAGTTTGTGGCATAAACGATATCAAAGTTATTATATTTGTTTATAAACAAATTAAATAACCTATAAAGTATTTGCTCTATCTGATTAATATTTAGCGCACTTTAATAACCTATTAATTTCCGTAATTTCAAGGAGCTATGTTACATGTCTTTGCGCAAAAAAGAGTTATTATAATTTATAAATAACTGCAAGAATAAGGTTTTTTTGCAACTATTTCGGTTAATGGTTTCATGT